CGCGGAGCCCAGCCGCCGGCTCCCCCCTGGGATTCGAGGAACCAAGCTGCCGGCGGCTGGGTTTTGCATGATGCGAATGTGTACCCTGGTCCCTGCCCCCCTAAGTGTCGCTCCAGCTTTTAGGTTAACGATGGTGTTGAATCTTCCTACTGATTGATGTGCGCTCTTTATCCCACGTAAATAGGCGGCGGAACCTCTGATGTAGGATGATCTCAAAATAAGGGTGCGGGTGAAACGCTCCGGGATCTGATCTGTTTTTTAAATCAGACCGCCAAGCCGGGAATTTGCGGAGGGTAGGGGGTGGGGGGGGGCGCGATGGTTTTTACTTTGTGCCAACCCCCACCCCACGGTTATAGGATCTCAAACTGGCCTGTTCTTTAATTGCATCATGGATGAAAGGGGGAGGGGATGTGCTACAAATGATCTCTACCGCTTTTGTTCAGGCTTTGATTTCTTCGGGTTGCAGTTTAAACCATCACCTTCCTCGGATTAGAAGTCCAACTTTTAGCGATCTTTTGTTAACTTCAACCCCAAATCTCAGCCTTCCCCGAGATCCGAGTGTCCCAGGAGTTTGTCCATTTCCCGCGGCTCTGCTTTCCGTTGTATGCACTCATTCCCAGGCTCTTTGCTGCCTTTGCAGCCCCGCGACCGGGTGGAAACCTGAACTGAACCCAAATCTTTAACCCAGGAATCTATCTCGTAAGGTTATTTGTTCGTCTTCAGGTTCTGAGAGAAGAAGGCCTGGTCTGAAGGGAAAAAAGACTCAGTCAGTTCCTGTCGCTCAGACACGGTGCCCGGCCTACTCTGTGCCCTTCCTAATTAGTCTCTTCTCAAGGCCTATTCAGAAAATGCCATTTCAGTGGGAGGAAAACGCCACTGTTTCCAGGGGCACAGGTAGATACTTGGTCTTGCAGTCCTTGTCACTGGTTCTGATAAGGGGCCATTTGTGTAGTTTGCCTTTCACCTCTTTCCCCCCAAACAAGAAACATCTTTTATGTGTATTTTTGAAGACCAAGCATAGGCATCATCTTCACAACCAGTATAACTAAAACCTTCAGTAACAGAAAACTGCTCTCACTATGGTGCTAATCCAACTTTAGTCTTCCCGGGATGCTCGTGGGGAGCCTGCTAATGCTGCTTCTCAGGCTAACCCTACAGGGCAGGTTATGATGCAACTCTTAGGAGAAACTGGTAGGAGTCAGAAATTTGCATTGCTAAAACCCTCAAAGGAAGGTTGCAGTGTGTTCCCCACCTCGCTGTTAGGGCAGGGACCTGCACTCTGTTCCCTTGCAAGCCACTGAGTTAGTCAGTGGGAATTTGGGTGGAGCCGTTGCAGCCGGAAGCTATATAACATAAGGCAGGTGGGTTTGTGAGAAGAAAGAGCACTCTTGTTCCTGTGGGTGATTTGCTGGGAAGAGAAATGTGAAAGAGAGACAGGTAGAGGCACTCAGAAGAGGCATGTGTGTGAGAGACAAGTGAGACTAACAATAGCAGCTGTTATCTTGATATGGTATCTCTTGTCCCGGCTTTCTGGGACCTGCTTCCGAACCCCATTTTTATGGTTCCCAGAAGATACTTTATGGTTCCCAGAAGGTAATTCACAGGTGTGGCAAGTGTTAAGGCCTCAGTGGCCTCACTTCAGACCAACTTTGTTTGGCTGGACAATTTCCCAGGAGGGGATAGGTAACTTGGGGTGTTTTACTGGGAAACTTGCTAGCAACTTTCTTATCCTCTCTCTGTCCACACTAATTCTATTAAAGTTCCTCAAGACAATGCTTTCTTTATCTTCATGGGGTGGGTGGCAGATCCCTGTTTTAGAGAATGTATCCTATACATTTGGGGGTCCGTTGGTATCTCCTGGTCACTCATGCTACAATTGCCATGTTACTGCTGCAATATCAAACTTACAGAGAGAGCCTTGATGCAAGTATATGGACCAGTTAGGGTCTAGGAACTTCACAATGAGTTATATGTGTAGCTGCTATCAAAAAGGAACAACTGTACAGTCCAGCCACTGTAAAGATGGAAATTTCTCTGGAAAGGCCATTAATTTTAATGTAAAATACAATAGGTGCTTAGTAAAAATACAGACAAAAATGTAATATGCTCAAATGACAACAGGAATATTAAGAATGCCTGCTCAAAAACACAAATAGTGGGCCCTCCCTGGTGGCGCAGCAGGTTAAAGCACTGCACTAAGAAGCTAAAGCCACTTTTGCATGAGTTTGATCCCCGCCCATTCCGGAGGTGACCACATGGAGCCGCAGACCTCTCCTGACCGCCCGCTGCTCCCCTCAGCAGTGTACTTCGTCGATCTGCCTGTTCTGCTCCCCACTCTGTCTCTGGTGAAGCCTCTCACCGCCCCTGAGCCTCTAGCCTGTACCCCAGTTCTGTATGCACAAATAAATCTTAAAAAAAAAACACACACATACAAATAGTGACCTATATAGGAATCCTGTGAAGACATAAGAATGATGAATAAGCTGTTCTTAAAAACAAGTCATTTTATTTATTTTGACGTTTGTATTATACAATTACCCTATAATAGTTTGGGCAATATAATACCTGATATCTCAAGTACTATTTGCAAGAACCAGTATCTAAAAAATAACTCATCTGTTCAGGCTTTATTTTTAATCTTGCATTGTGAGGATTTAGAGGCAAAATTCTTTAAACTTTAAATTTCTGTTTATGTCTGGAGGACTAGCTCTGGACTAATTTTACTAGAAGCAATACATATGACCTTAGACAATAAAAGTAAGACAGTTACATTAATGTAATGCTTCAGTTTTTTTCATCTGTAAGAGGGGCAACGTATTTCTGCCCTACTATATATTTTGATGAGATAACATGCAAGAAGATTCTTTGGAAAATGCTATAAAACTGTAGGATGTTATTAATCTGAGATCATGTGAAATGTATGACCAAATGCTTGTAGAGTCATTTGATGTGACAGGCTAATTGCCTTTGACTAGATGGATACAAGGTGAATAGTCAGGAGAGTTATAATCTAGGGACGAGTAAGGGCTATTAGGAGAATGAATCTTGTAAAATGAAAAAAATTATTAGAATAATGGAATATTCATAAAAAGGATATTTTAACTTAGATCATACATTTTCTATTATTTCTTTGACGGACAATGTACATCTTACAAAGTTATTAGCCAGTAAGTATACTTGCATTTTCTGTCCCTTGGTCACCATTTAGTTTTACATCCCTGCCTCTTAACTTCTGAAATTATGTTATGCCATTAGCATGGTGGAAAGATAGATAGTTGCATTTGCCTGAGTTCTCCACTGGACTAAAGACTTTTGTCCCGGAAGTACATACTAAATTTTTGACAGTTTAGTAGCTCTCAACTTTTGCCAATACTATGGCCACTAAAGGCACACCTCTTTGCACTGAGGTGGTCAGTGACACAGATCAAAATAAAGAAGAGCATTTATTTTTTTCTGAGCTTTGAAACCTGAAAATAAGAAACATCTCAGACTGGGAATTGAGTTGAAATCCATAAACATATGAAACTTAGTGACTCAGATTCTTAGTCACAGAGTCACTGGTTAGAATCTGGATGCAATCCACTGTGGCCAGTGGCCAGTAATAATGATGATGATATTTGCTTTTCCTTAGTGCTGAACAAAACCCTTTACAAATGCTACAAGGAAAAAGAAAAAGTGGAAAGATATTTTCTTCCAAATATTTGGGCCAAGTTAAAAACTTGGTAGTAGCTTCAAGCTACTTTTCTCTTTACACAAATAAAGAAAAGTTGCAAATAATTGTAGTACAAAACAACTTAAGCAATCACCTCATTAATATTCAATTAGCATAGTAAGCCCTCTTTCCCGGCTTCTTGTCTGAAGCAGACTAGATCCAATGTGTAGTCTTAGAGTAAAGAAAATAACGGCTCCATAGAAGTTCATAGAGTCAGGAGCCAGGAGCT